TTAGCCATTCTCACGCCTTTCTTATTTTTTCGGATTTAAACTCTCATCAAGAAAGACCGTGGGCTTTTCTCAGATGAAAGAAAATGACCGACAACGTATAGTTCTTCTTCTATGATGCATTATTTCAAATTTGTATTTTGTTTTTGAGAGTTTAAGAAGGGTAAATGACAAAATGGCGCCTTGTTGAAGCAGTCGACTGCGACAAGAAAATCATTTCTTTAGGTATAGACTTCGCTTAAATAGTTTCCTTTTGCTGATTTAAATGTTTGCATTCTATCGTGTTTATTCTTCAAGAATTTTCTTCAATTTCAAAAGTTTTTATTTTTCATCTACAAATTCCTGAAAGATGTTTGTAATCTTTGTTTTCTCACACAAATGTGTGCTTCAACTCACTCAAAAATATTTTGATTTCGGGAATGATGATCAAATGTTTTTATGCTTATCGTATTCCTTCATCAGGAAATAGTATGAGTAATAACTAAGAAATAAGGTGCACTATTTATTCACGTTTTGATTGCATTTATTATTTGCTGCTTGATCCTGAGTCTTGGAAAAACATCACTCTTGGATGCATCCTCTGTCAAATAGGTCAGGAACGAGTCTGCTTGAGAGCCCTTCAAGATCAAACAGATGTCGCGCTCATGTTTTTCATCCTCGAATTCTTCCTTTGAAATTAAATTCCTTTCCGCGATGGAACTTGAACCCAATGAAAAGTTCATTCCTGTTCTTTTTTGTATAGTCCTGTGAGTTATCTTTGCGGAATTGAAAAAGAGAGAAGCAGGCTGTAATCAAATGTTGTCGTGTCTGGAATGCTGAAAGCGCCAGAGGGAACCTCGTTTCCCATTAGCTTTATCGAGTTTGTTTTCAGGCGCAGGCCTTGAAGCCTGTCTGGATTCTTAATCGCATCTGGCGATTAAGGTACAGTAGGTCTCTGAAGATGGAGAGAGACAGACTAGATAAAGTTGGGAAAAGAATACAGAAAAGAAAAGTAAGAAAGCATGACCTGGAGGCAGAAGATTAGAATAGAGCTGAGTTACTCTGTTCTTCTCAATCAGTTTTTGGGTAAGATTTATTTAGAAGAGCCCCTGTTGAAATAAAATACTTTGATGGAGCTCTTGAGATTAAATCATATGTCCTGCCAAGTACAGGTAGAGAGAACTTCACATGGCCCAAAAAAGAAATGCATTAAACAAAGAATATTGATGTGAAATGTTTAGAGGCCACCTGCAGTACCATTAAAATGCAAGCATTCTAAGTTCACTCATTGGATTCTATGAGACTATATACTGTATTAAATACCAAGTACTGAATAGTAAAGCCTTGATAAGTCAACACCATATGTGTGGTTGTTTAATGAGCATGGTGGTTATAGAAATGGTTTATCAAAAAGCTAAAATAAAATATTATGAAAAATGAGTATAAACGGAAATACAATTAATATTCTTCTAGAAAACATTCAGAAGAACCCAGGTATGCATAACATATGTAGCTAACATAACATGTTCCCAAAAAGTAAATTATTTCATCCCTTTGTGGTTTTTTTTTTCCTCATTCGGAGACCTCTCACAGAAACTTTAGTCTTGTTGGTGGGCTATCAAAGATAAAATTAATTGGCATGCGTTGTTTTCTTGGGTGGCTTTTCAAATGTGGGTTTCAATGCTTTCATCATCTTCAAATTTGTTCTTTGAAATCAATTAGTGGTTGCCAAGGGTGGTGGCTATTGGATTCTGGGTCTTAGCAGAGTTTGACTGCATTCCCTGTAATTAATTCCGCAATTCAAGATTTAATTGCGGAATTAATTACAGGGAATAGTACTGTCCCCTTATGATGATTATGATGCATATTACATACATCCTGACTGCCATGCCATTGAGAGGCTCTGGTGATGGGGTCACTGCCTCCAGGAGCTTTGAGGTACCTGTATAATACATTATCATATGTTTATTCTGCTCAGGGATGGTTTTAGGAATCCAAAAGTAGATGTTTCCTGGAAATGAGTGAACATAGAAAATACAGCTAATATAGGGATTGCAAGTAAATATTACAAGCTTATTAGATATTCATAAGCTTTTATGCTTCAAAAGGCAAGTTCCATCGGTTGCACTTCATGTAATTTTATTTTCATCATTTCAACTTCAATTAGGTCACTTCCATTCTTAATTTTTAGATTGATTACAAGAGATTTTCAGAGTGTAGTCTGAAATTTAATACAGTACACTAAGGACTGTTGCTTGTGACTGGAATCTGTATTTGAACTATTCTTGTCAGACATTACAATATTTATGATTAAGGTGTGTGCTAAAATTGAAATTAATACTGTTAATAATTGGAATCTTGGATTTTAGTTCCTTCAAGTTACTTTTCTTGGTAGTGCAGCAAGGTGATATTATTCCTTAAACTCATGTTGACTTATAATTCCAGGTGAACTTGACAGCTGCTTGCAACTTCGGATGCGAATGTTCAACTAATGACGTGGAGCCTGTTTGTGGGAGAAATGGAGTGACTTATTTTTCCCCTTGTCACGCTGGATGCACATCTTTGTCTTCTCGCTACAATTACAGTGATTGTGCCTGTGAGTTGTGACATTGACACATGTCCCTGTGATTCATTGATTTGACCATCTCTTGTTCTTCTTCTGGAAAAGGCATTCAAGCAGGAGTGAGCGGAAATGTTACGGGAATTGCGCCAACGGCGGCTGATGTGACAGCGATTCCGGTTGCCACAGCTGGTCCTTGTGCCCCAGTCTGCGACTCTGTCATGGCGTTTCTCGTGTTGCTGTTCTTCATGACATTTGTGGTGGCCATTACTCAGATGCCGCTGCTCATGATTGTGCTGCGCTCTGTGGATGAGGAAGAGCGCTCTTTTGCACTTGGCATGCAGTAAGTCTTGGATGG